CTCTCTCTCTCTCTCTCTCTCTCTCTCTCTCACAGTTTGCAACCTTGCAACGTTATTTATATAGTACTTTGTAAGGCCTCTAGTTAGCTAAAAGAAAGATGGGTATTTTCTATATCATCTTCACCTTCATATTGTTCTTTCCCTTCCTAACCTTGTCCCTCTTCATACTTAGAATCTTCACAGGCAAGTCCATCAGAAACCCAAACTACCCACCTGTAAAAGGCACTGTCTTCCACCAGCTCTTATACTTCAACAGACTCTATGACTACCAAACTGAAGTTGCCAAAGAACACTCAACTTACAGGCTTCTGGCCCCGGACCGCAGCGCAGTATACACAACTGACATGCGAAACATTGAGCATGTTCTGAAGACCAACTTTGGCAGCTATTCGAAAGGGGAGTATAACCAAGCTATTCTGGCTGATATTTTTGGGCAAGGGATATTTATTGTTGATGGAGAAAAGTGGAAGCAGCAGAGGAAGCTTGCGAGCTTTGAGTTCTCGACGAGAGTTCTTAGAGATGTTAGCTGCTCTGTGTTTAGAAGAAATGCTGCCAAACTGGTTAAAGTTATTTTTGAGATTTCGGTTGCCAGGGGGGTTTTTGATATGCAAGTCAGTAATCTGAAATCGCCAACGTATCTTTTCTTGTTTGTAACTTGTCTTCTGGTCTTGTTTAAATCACTAAGTGGTTATTTAATAATAGCATAACTAAATTTGACATTTGACATACAGATAATATATAACTTGCTGGTATAAACTTGTTTAGTGTCCCCTTGATCAATTTGGTTTGATAAAACATTAATCAATTTAAAGGGCTGAGCTAAGATCAACTTTAATTTTGGCTGGTTTTTGGTACAAAAGAGTAGAGAGAAGAAATCAAGATCTGTGAAATTAGGGGACGTATCATACCATAAAAGTACTCAGCTTGTAAACTCCCAAAGTTTAGGATTTTCTATCTATTTTTTAAGTATCTTGGAAAATAGAAGATGAATCTGATTTCATAACAGCTGATGTAATGATATAAGTTGTTATTTACTTTTTCTTGTTTATGATTCTTTTTGTAGGATTTGCTCATGAGATGTACCTTGGACTCCATATTCAAAG